CTAACAAGAAATTTGAACCTGTTGACCACCTTCACCTATCTCAGCCACTCTCTCCTTCTGGCAACCACCAATCTGTTCTCTAATCTAAGAGTTCAGGGTCTTTTTAGATTCCACATGTCAGTAAGATCATACAGTATTTGTCTTTCTCTGACTTATTTCACTTAGCATAATGCCCTCAAGGTCCATCCATGTCACAAATGGCAGGATTTCCTTCTTTTTTAGAGCTGATATGATAATAATATCCTGTTGTGTACATACTACAACTTCTTTATCCCTTCATCTGTTGATGGACACTTAGGGTTGTTTCTATGTCTTGGCTATTGTAAATAATGCTGCAATGAACATGGGAGGACAGATAACTCTTCAGGATAGTGATTTCATTTCCTTCTGATGTATACCCAGAAGTGCAATTGCTAGATTATATGGTAGTTCTATTTTATAATTTTTTGAGGAAACTCCATACTATTTTCTGTAGTGGTTGCACCAATTTACATCCCCACCAACAGTGCACAAGGATTCTCTTTTCTCCATATCCTTGCCAACATTTCTTATTTCTTGTCCTTTTAATAATAGACATTCTAACAGGTGTGAAGTAATATTGTGGTTTTGATTTGTGTTTCCCTGATGATGAGTGATGTTGAGCACCTCTTCATGTATCCCCCTAGTTGTGGGGGAAGGGACAGTCAGGCAGTCATGGAAGTTTGGGTTCTAACATGGGACTGGAAATCCTAATTGCTGAACGGAGAGAGTGTTTCCAACTTCAAGTAACTGTGAGACCTTCAGTTAACCAAAGAGTAACCTGCTCTGGACCTGCTCTGGTTTGTAACCAAGGGCAGGGAAAGGACCAGTCCTCCCTGGGGATTGAAAGGAACAAAATAAAGTGGCTCTTCCGAAGAGTCCTGCTTATTCAAGAACTCGGTAGAATAAACATGAACACGTAGATGCCATTTTGGATGGGTAGATAAGAAACCAGTGAGCTGAGCTGAGGGATCAAGTTTCTATCACTTTTAATGATTTAAAATACCATGTGAATTGCACATAAGAATAATTGCACTTTGGTTAAGATGTAGAGGATGTACTCTTTCTTTCCTAAGGATGTTAGTGGGGTTTTTTTTGAGATATAATTCACATGTAATTCACCCATTAACGTATGCAATACAGTGTTTTTTAGTATATTCCTGGGGTTATGCAACCATAACCATAACAGTTTTAGAAAAAATTTTTTCCTACTCCAAAGAAACTCCATACACATTAGCAGTCACTTGCCATCGCCTCTCATCCCATTCCCTCCACAGCCACTAATCTACCTTCTATACATACAGATTTTTACCTATTCTAGCCATTTCATTTAATGGAATTATATAATATGTGGTCTCTTGTAACTGGTTCCTTTCATTTCCCATGATGTTTTCAAGGTTCGTCTATGCTGTAGCATGGGTCAGTATTTCATTCCTTTTTATTGCCAAATAATATTCTCATTATGTGGATATATCCCATTTTGTTTATCCATTCATCCATTGATGGACATTTGAGTTATGACTCTTACTCTTAGGAAGAATGTTGCTATGAGCACTCATGTACAAGACTTTGTATAAACCTAAGTTTTCTTTCTCTTGGGTATTTGTGTACCTTGGTGTGGAATTGTTGGGCTATATGACAACTGTATGTGTAACTTTTGAGCAACTGCCACATAATTTTCAGAAGAGACCGCAACATTTTACGTTGCTATCAGCAATGGACAAGGGTTCGAATTCCTCCACAATCTCATCAACACTTGTGATTGTCTGCCTTTCTGATTACAGCCATCCTAGTGGATATGAAGTATTATCTCAGTGTGATTTTGGTTAGCTTTTTCTAACGATTAAAGATGTTGAGCACTTTTCATATGCTTATCAGCCATTTGTATATCTTTGGAGAAACGTCTGTTCAAATCCTTTGCCCATTTTTTTTTTAAGTAGGCTCTATACCTAGCATGGAGCCCAACATGGGGCTTGAACTCACAACCCTGAGATCAAGAATTGAGCCAAGATCAAGACTTGAGCCAAGATCAAGAGTAGGATGCTTAACTGACTGAGCCACCCAGGTGTCCCTCCTTTGCCCATTTTTTAAATTAAGTTGTCTTTTTTTTATTATTGAATTGTAAGAGTTCCTTATATGTTCTGGATCCAAGTCCTTTATCAGATGTGTGATTTTCAAATAATTTCTCCCATTTCGTGGATTTTTTTTCAACTTTATGGTGTCAGTTTAAGCACAAAAGTTTTTAATTTTGATAAAGTCCTATATATTTTTTCTTTTGTCACTTGTATTTTTGGTGTCATATCTAAGAAATCATCTAACCTGAGGTCAGAAATGGGTGCCTCTGTTTTCTTCTAAGAGTTTTATAGTTTTACCTCTGACCTTTTTAGGTCTGTGAGTCATTTGACTTAGTTTTTATGTTTGCCGTGAGGGAATCCAACTTCATTCTTTTTCTTCTTCTTTTTTTTTTTCTTAAGTAGGCTCCATGCCCAGTGTGGAGCCCAGCACAGGGCTTGAACTCATGACCCTGAGATAAGGACCTGAGCTGAAATCAAGAGTCAGACGCTTAACCCACTGAGCCACCCAGGTGCCCCTCTTTTTCATGTGGATACCCAGCTGTGTTGGGACCATTCATTGAAGAGACTATGCTTTCCCCCATTGAATTGGCTGGGCACCCTTGTCAAAAATCAACTAACCACAGGTGTTTGGTTTATTTCTATGCTCTCAAGTCTGTCCCTTTGGTCTCTTTGTTATCCCTATGCCGGTATCTAACTGTTTTATTATTATAGCTTTGTAGTAAGTTTTGAAATCCAGAAGTCCTTCAATTTTTTTCTTTTTCAAGATCTTTTTAGCTAATGTGGGTTCCTTGCCTTTCCATATGAATTTTAGGGTCAGTTTCTGCAAAAGAACCAGGTGTGATTTTGATAAGAATTATACGGAATCTAGAGATCAATTTGGACAGTATTACCACTTCAACAATATTAAGTCTGGTCAACCATGGAATGTTTCTCATACCTTCCTATGATTTTATCCAAACTCTGCACCTAAATTTTGGGGTCCCTTCCAATTTGAGCCCATTAGGGTACTTTAACAACATGCATTCTTCATTTTGGCCATGCCAATTTTCCCCATGTTCTCTAAGCAGATGCTCATTAAAGCTTGAACTCAAGAGCAAAAATAATTATGCATTTTTGTATCCCAAGCACCAAAAAATACACAAGTTATCCTTGCATTAAACATTGGCTAAATTGAGTCAATCAATCAAGGCCACACTAAAATAATATTTTTTTTTAAGATTTTTTATTTATTTATTTGACAGAGGGAACACAAGCAGGGGGAGTGTCGGGAGAAGCAGGCTTCCCGCTGAGCAGGGAGCCCGATGTGGGGCTCGATCCCAGGACCCTGGTATCATGACCTGAGCCGAAGGCGGACACTTAATGACTGAGCCACCCAGGCGCCCCGAGAAAGTTTTTTGATAAAATTTTTACTCTTGTACCTCTTTCATCACTTAGATTACTTTTTTTTCTATTCTGTATGCCAGATTTCTTTTCTAGTCAAGAAACATTTCAAACATATAATAAACAGTGATTTTCTCCAGTCTAATTATTAAACAGATATTAATGATCTTCCAAATTTCCTTAAGTTCTCACTTTAAAAAAAGAGAATAAAATATTATAGATAGCTAGTACCAGTTAGCTTTTGCTATATAACAAAGCACCCCCAAACAGTAGCTTAAATGAACAACTATGTAGTTCTCAATTTCAGATGAAAATGAGATCCAGGGGTGCCTGGGTGTCTTCGTTGGTTAAGCGTCTGCCTTTGGCTCATGTCATGATCTCAGAGTCCTGGGATCGAGCCCCGCATCGGGCTCCCTGCTCGGCGGGGAGTCTGCTTCTCCCTCTGCCTCTGCTCCTCTCCCCACCACCCCCCACTTGTGTACTCTCTCTCTCTCAAATAAATAAATAAAATCTTAAAAAAAAAAAGAAAGAAAGAAAGAAAGTGAGATCCAGAGAGGATGTGTCTGATCATAAGCATGTGGCTGATCTGATAAAAAACCTAATGCTTTGGAATTCTGATCTAACGGTTTTTCTAAGGGAAAAGGAATTCCGTAGATATTTTTCTAGACATTCTGAGGGGCTTTTTCTGGTTATTTCTAAAGAAATCTAGAGGTTAGTTGCATGGGTCATTAGGTCTCATGTTATGTCAGAAGATGCATTTTCTTGGGCGCCTGGGTGGCTCAGTTGGTTAAGCGACTGCCTTCGGCTCAGGTCATGATCCTGGAGTCCCGGGATCGAGTCCCGCATCGGGCTCCCTGCTC